GATGAATTTTAAATTATTAAGGCACGATGCCATGCACCACTAGTTTAATAATTTAATATTAATTACTGTTAATATAAATTAAATACGTAACTATAATTATAATAATAATAAGGACATATATGATAAATTCTGAATTATTAAACCACGATGCCATGCACCACTAGTTTAATAATTTAATATTAATTACTGTTAATATAAATTAAATACGTAACTATAAATATAATAATAATCAGGACATATATGATGAATTCTAAATTTCAAGTAAATTTGCATTTTTTAATGATGTCTTTTAAAACAAAAAAACCTTAAGTGCAAATATTAGTAGTATCCTACTTAATATTTCCATCAAGTTTGTTATACAAGATTAAATATATGTAAAATGCAACTTATTCCTTGTTGTATATTTTATCATAATATTTATTATAGGACCTCCCCTTATGTGCAAATAGTGGTTTCGTCCTGCTAATAATTAAGTTACAAAAATCTGAATAATTGTGAAATTCATGCAATTTCTTCATATAAATTTAAAATATTTTGACATGGCCTCCCCTAAGAAGCAAATATTGGTATCGTCCATCCGCTTTGTGCGTTCCTTCGTGTGTTACAAAATTCTGATTAAATTGTCAAATTCATAAATTTTTACTAGGAAAATGTATGCGTCCTCCCCTTATCATAAATAATGGAATCGCCCACCTAGTTTTAATTCGTCCAATGACATTTGTCTTATATATGTGCAAGTGTTTTGCAACCCTCTCAATCGGCTCGTAGAAAAATAGAAAAAAATAGTGTATTAGTGTATAAAATCATGGAAAAAGTATATAAAACAATTAAATAAAAAGAATGTAGTGCTAACTTTAATTATGAAATAAAATTATTGCAAATTATGAACCTGATGTGAACATTTTTATACATAAAGGTATTTTGAATGTAAATAGGTATTAATGTCATTTATGTCATTAGTACATATCAATGGGCATGCAGTATATAGCATTTAGTATTTTCGTTGCTTTTCTATATACAAATAATATATTTGATAAAATGTGTTTTTTTAACTAATTTATTTATTTTCAGCAGAAATTCAATTTTGAAAACAGAGGTCCTCAAAAACATTTCAAAAATAAAGTAAAGAACTCATTATAACAAAAAGTCAACTTCACAAATAGTGAAAAATACACAATCATAGGATATAAGATATAATGATCCAGAACATGTGAATAAAAACCATTAAATAAGTGCAAGGACATTAAAGTACAGTGATATTGTATAATTATAATTTGACTTTTGGGTGGCTTTGTGGACTGAAAAGTGTTTTATTTGTGTTAACAGTGTTGTGCCAAATTTTGCAACTATGTTTGACCAGGAAGACTACGCATTTCATATCTGAGGTTCTAATGCTACTAGATGTTTGGAAACACAAAACTGAAGGATGGATTTAAATGGAAATTTTCGTTGAAAAGGACCTCTTAGTTGATATTAAATTAATTTATCCATCTTCATCAATTTAACCAGTCAAATGATACAAGACATAAAACTGGAGATGCTTGAGAAAGAACAAATCGCTATGTATTTTATCTTCATTAGTGATATTTTTGTTGATCAGAAGAACATCATTATGAGAATCCATCCAAGTTCTATTAGTGATAAACCGCATTTTTAAAAAGGCAAATAATCGCTTATGGTCAAATAATTTTTTCGGTGTCGACTCGTAGTGATTGTTTTTCTCGATTTTTGAGCTATGTTTTTAATCCGAATTTGTTTATCGTTTTTAGTGTTTATGTAGTGTTTTATAAAGGCCTTTATAGTGTTCTAGTGCAGTGATAGTGTCCTGTTACGGTTCCTGGTTCCTGGTCCTGGTTCCTGGTCCTGGTTCCTGGTTCCTGGTCAGCTCTCTTCTGGAAATCACGAGGTAGTACAGCGATTTTTTTTAGCACGAATCGATATTTCATAATATTTTGAAAAATTGCTTAGTTTTTTTTTTCTATTTTTCAGACAACAAATTGGTAATCGGGATGTTCCAGAAGAATCGGTGATTTTAAATAAAGGTTAGTGCATTTTCATTCTTAGGCATGATTTCTAAGGGTACGGTCACACGTCTCGTTGTGCGTTTACAAAAAACCGTAAATTAGGTTATAGTTAGGAGGTTGCCAAATAATTATATAATTAATTTTTTTTAGTGTAGGCAAAATTGTGACCGTACCCCTTACTAATCCACAAATTTCTTCCAGCCTAATAAAAAACTTTTTAAAATAGAAGTGAGTGTAGTAGATAATAAAGTTGGTGTAAAATAATTAATTATTGAAACAAAAGTGCTAAATAAATAAATTTTGCATAATTTTGTGTAAAACAAATTGAAGAGATAGTTTATAAATGCATTACAATAAGGGCGAGCAACCTTTTAACCCACGGGCCAATTTAAATTTTCAAATTTTCTGCGGGCCGCACGTAATTGTTAATGGCGGCAGGCTCCGCTGTTTCATTGATACGGGGAAAAAGTGTTAAAAATGGTAATTCAGTTCAATTTGAGATAACGGCGCGTCCGATTTGAATTATTCCAACAACATTTTATTTGTGTTCATGAAAGTCATTTTATTTTTAAATTGGTCGTCAAGTTCGAAATTTGATTAAACATCCGTCAGATTATTATATTTCATTCGTTAGCTAAATACTGATATGTGAATTTTTTAAGACTGATCAAAACTATTATTTTTATCGCAAAAATAGAATACACTGTTTTCTATTTTTACGATATGTACATATAAATGTACTGATGTGAATTATCTAATGAAAAAGTAATTTACCCAAGGGCAGACTTATGTACCAATCCGCCAGATACATATTGAAATAATTATTTTTGAACTAAAAAAAACTAATTATATATACTGATGAATGCTATAGCATCCAAATCAAGTATTACGATTATATTTTACGCAATGTGCTTGCCCAAGCTAGTTAGTGGCTACTGAAGAATTAGTTAGTCATAACCTTGATAGGTATAATAATTACAAAAATGTAAGGTTATATAAAATTAAATTCAAAATTGATATCAAAATTTGCATTCTGAATCACAATAAAAATGAATATTATAGCATTCACGTTCGTTCGCCAATGGTTTAAATTTACTATTTTACTAAAAATAAGACAAAGCATTACACATAATTTGTGATGTTTTTTTATTATACAGAACTTAAAATTGTTGTTGATATTCTCCCGAAGAAACATTAACTTGTTTTGCAATTATTGTACTAAAATGGTTATATATAGGTCAGATTTATAAATCTAATTTTAAATTTAAAACTAGTTTTACAAATCCAGTTGCTTTTGTACATACTTTATCAATATTCATTGTAATTCTGCATTTTATTAACAGTAGGGTAAGTTATAGTGAACGCAAAAAAATCGAAAATATATTTTTTTTATATAACTTCATGTTTCAGAGGTTTCTGAACATTTTGGCAAACCTTAGAAAAAATTGATGTATGTGTGCATATGTATGTGTGAGAGTGTATGTGTGCGTGTGCATGTGTGCGTGTGTATGTGTGCGTGTGTATGTGTGCGTGTGTATGTATGTATTGTGTGTGCGGATACGAATTTTTGTTGACGATTTTGACAGCACGGATCAACCGATTTAAATAATTCAAATAACATTCGATTTGTATTGACAAGGGGAAGTGCTGATTAGTTTTTAGCAATGGCAGATCTAGCCGTTTCCAAGTTTTGAGAGAACGGACCGTCCGATTTGAATAATTTAAAAAAAAATATTTGTATTGACAAAATAAAGTATTGTTTAAGTTTTTGCGAAGGCATGTCTAGTGGTTTCAGAGATCGAGTGAAAAAAAGTAAAAAAAAAATGGCATTTGGCGGTCAAAAATGTTCATTAGAGTTATTATATTATCAGATATTTTATAAAGATTTTAATAATAAGTATGAATTTTGTTTATATTTCCATAGATTCCGTACCAATGTTTATCCGTTAGACTGCGATGCGGCGCTTACACGCTTCGATATTTCTTCTCTAAAGAGCCACGCAGCACAATTGCTTTGAAATTCATAGTATAAAAGAAATTTCGACATATAAAAAAAAATAATTTTTCAAAAATCTTTTTCTTTTCAGTTATCAGAAAATTTTAAAGGATTTTTTTTAAATTTAATTTTTGGTACTGGAAGTAATTTGCAATTTGCCTTATTGCACGATGCCATGCACCATTAGTTATTCTGGATTTTACATAAACTAAATATATAATCCTTGTTTGCCAAATGAGCTACCCGTCTGAATTATGAACATATCACATCTGAATTTTAGAAACATAGCTATTATATATATATAAAATTATAATTCTAAAAAACTTTCTAAAATTCAGATGTGATATGTTCATAATTCAGACGGGTAGCTCATTTGGCAAACAAGGATTATACATTTGGTTTATGTAGAATGCAGAATAACTAATGGTGCATGGCATCGTGCATTAAGGCAAATTGCAAATTACTTCCCGAACCAAAAATTAAATTAAAAAAAAAAAAACTTTAAAATTTTCTATACATAGCTTATGTATCACTACATAGACTATGTATTACTACATAAACTATGTATTACTAAAATTATGATTTTACGAAACAAATTAGTTAAGATTAGCGATATGGGGTTTTCAGCATTTCATTTCAAGGTTCGAATTCAAAGTTGAAGTTAAATTGATGGGCTGTAAACAGTGGCGTCGGAAACAAATTTTTGATGGGTGGGCTCGTGTTTTTTTGCTTAGGCAGCCAGTGTGGACTCGTTTTTCTTTTAGACATTTTAGAAAATATCATATCTTGAGATTGATGGATAGGCTCATCCCACCCAGCCCACACGGTTCCGACGCCACTGGCTTAAACCTAGTAATATAATAATAATCAATAATCTTCCAAAAGACCATATAACATATTATTTTCTATTGCAATTCATTGCGCACAATAATGTTTAAAATCTATACAATAATGTTATCCATTTGTCTTCAAACACTTACCACACAATAAAATCAACTAACAGCTCAAGAAATGTTTGTTGCACTTGTAAATTCTTCCAATTTCTATTATTTCCTTTTGTCACAATGCAATTCTAAGTCTTTCAATAACACCCAATTCAATCGGATCACAAAACACCATTGCGTGCATACTTTGTTTTGATAGTGGCCTCGGTCGGCCTTTGTAGTACCGATAAATATTTGACATCTATGGGCAATACAAAGGAACTGCATAGTTGTCAAATATTTAATGCAAAGTAAAATCCTCTCATTTTAAGTTTATCGATCGAACGAGACGGATGTGTTGAAGAGGTTAGGAGTTAAGTTGTGAGTAAATCTCGATTATATCATTATAGCAGTTACGCATATAAAGTTTTTATCGGGCGGTTTTCTGTTAGCAAGTTAATAATGTCGAGTGAGATTTGTTCTGAAGAAGTTACCGGCTTGGTACGGTAAGTACAATTACAACTTAGTATTATATTTTTTCTTTGTTCGGGACTTTAGTTAATTCTATCAATATTCCAAATACATAATATATTGTACTAATATATGTGAGTCGGTGTTTCAAAGCATGGTGCATTTCGGCATCTATATTGTCAAATCGAACATTTTTACAACTATTACAATGTATACTACTTTTAGGAAATCATTACAATGTATCATACATTAAATAATTTTTGAAAAAATATTGATCATAATGATAACTAAACTAGTTACTGGTAAATAAGTTTTTGTCGTTTGTTAATTAACTTCCCGTAGGGTAAGTTACAGTAATCGCAAAAAAATCGAAAATGAATTTTTTTTTTGTTTTTGAACATTTTGGCATATCTTAGAAAAAATAGATGTATGTGTGTGTGTGTATGAGTGTGTTGTGTGTGTGCGGATACAAATTTTTGCCAACGATTTCGGGAACACGGATCAACCGATTTGAATAATTCAAAAAACATTCGATTCATATTAATAAGAAGACGTGCTGATTAGTCTTTGGCGTAGGCAGGTCTAGCCATTTTGAAGATACGAGGCAAAAGTGCCAAAAACGGTAACTCGGTTTTTAAGAGAACGGAGCGTCCGATTTTAATAATTCAAAAAACATTTTACTTGTATTGACAAGATGAATAACTGATTAAATTTCTGGAGAGGCAGGTTTAGCGGTTATGGACTCTCAATAAAAATAAGTTAGAAAAATGCCTTTTGGCGGTCAAAAATGTTTATTGGACTTATACACATCAAATTATCAGATATTTTATAGAGATTTTAATAATGTGTACAGATTTTGTGTAAATTTTCATGAGTTTTTTGTATCAAGATTTTTAATTATGGTACGAGAAGTTCCAGCAATTTGCTTTACGGCACGATGCCATGCACCCCACTAGTGGTGCTAGTGATGGCAAGTGAGATCTGTTCTGAAGAAATCAACATGTCGGTGCAAGTACAATCACATTTTGATATTTTTTTATATTGTTCTTAGTGACTTCAGTTCTTATTGATAGTCTAAATAATATATTGTACTTGTTGTGAGTCGGTGTTTCAAAGCGTAGTGCAACTTCGACATCAATATTGTAACTTAAAAACTGATTTACTGCAATTGTTTGCTCCTGTATATTAGTACGTTATATATTTTAACCGTGGCGTAAGTACACCACGGCTAAAATATATAACAGTTTTTTAAAGAAAATTAGTTAATATCAATTCAAATTGTCATCTACTATGACGCCTAATCGAAGTTTTGCCGCGCATTTTTACAACAATTACTGTGTATACAATTTTTATGAAAGGTAATGACTAAATAATTTTTTAGGTATTTTCCTATTATCTTATCTTTTCCCGTAAGCACATTGCGTAATATAAAATCGTAATACTTGACTTGGATGCTGCAGCATTCATTAGTATATAACAATTAGTTTTTTTTTTAGTTTAAAAAGATATATTTCACATCATCTTATCCATAGATGCCACATTTTTATCGGTTTCGTAAAGTAAAATTATCTCATCTTAAGTGTTTTGATCGAACAGGACGGATGTCTTAAAGAGGTTATGAATTTAATTTTGAGAAAATGTAAAGTGATATCTTTACGATCGTTCTTTGATTTAGTTTTCGTCGTTCTTTAATTTTACAATCAAATAATGTCGAGAGATTGTTCTGAAGAAATTAGTGAGCTGATGTAAATACAATCACAACATTTAGATTTTTTTCTTACGATTACTTATTACTATTAATTATGATAGTCCATATTACGAAGATACATTGTGATATACAATACCAGTATACAATTATACATGTATAGGTTCAATTTTGACACGTGCACGCCGGGGCCGATTTTGATATGTTTTTGAGTGAGGCGGCGCGTGGTTATGACCTTCGAAATGCGGGTCTCCGGTGGCGCGCGCCGCCCGGTAGAAAAGTCTCGTGCTGTTGGCCAACGCCGGCTTGAATGTTTTCAGAATGCAGTTTATAGATAAGTTATTTTTCTATGAATGATAAATTGTAAATCAATTGTATCTTAGTAATTAGATGAAAGATAAATCACTTCGAATTGACTTGTATGTAACGATATCCACTAATTTGTAATACATATTAAAACTGTTAGTGTTATTTTGACTAGTTTGAGTAATTAATTTTGCTTGTCGATTTATTATGTGCGTTACCAATGATTGAACTAATTATTAGTTACCACAATTAATAATTAGTTCACATTTGAAGATTTGAAAATAATTTTGATTAACTGTCTATGAATTTCTTTTCTACTTTTTCGAATACACTTCGAGCGCACTGTACAAATATCGCCGCCAAAATGCAAGCTTTAATTAATTTTTATAATTAAACCCTAGACCATGTCTGAGCGTCGACGAAATTCGTTTTTCGAGGACCCCCTTTTTTCTCAGTTTAAGTTAACTAGTGGTGCACGGCATCGTGCCTTAAGGCAAATTGCTGAAACTTCCAGTGCCATTTAAATGTTTTAAAAGCTTTAAAATTTTTTGAAAACTTTATTATAAAAAAATATAATTTGAAATATTTATTTATATTCTGAAATTTGTTGAAAATTTTAAACTTATTTCAAAACCGAACTTTTCGAACTTTTTGATCACACTGCGTTAGCTGCTTAGAGACGAAATATCGAAGCGCGTAAGCGCCGCGTTGCACGGTTATACATTTTTACGGAACGCATAGAAATGTAAACGAAATTTGTACTTATTATTAAAATATTTAATCTGATAAATCTTTTATCTGATAATTTGATGTGCATATGTTTAATGATCATTTTGGTTCGCCAAATGGCTTTTCTTTACTTTTTTTATTGGATCTCCAAAACCGCTAGACCCTAAAATTTAATCAGTTTTTCATTTTGTTAATACAACTAAAATGTTTTTCCAATCATTAAATATTTCTAATCAAATATTTACAAAAAATGTAATAGACAAAAATTACACAAGTTAAAATAAACAAACCCTTCGGCAAAAATAGTTTGTTAGAAAAACACTGAAATTAAATAATTATCCCGCCGAAGTTACTTTTTTGCCAAATCATTTGATTAGCTAATTTTATAATTTCTTGATTGTCTTTCTGAATGAAAATGATTGGAAATCACCGATTTGATCAATAAATAATTAGACAAAAATTTGCAATCTACAATTGATTAATTAGATTAAAAAATCTATAATTATAATAATTTGAGTGCTCAAATCCGCACATAGATCGTACATATGGCATTACCGAAAAGCTATGGCCCATTATTCCAAAATTTAATGAATTTTTAAAATTATCCACTTATCGTAGTTCCATAAAATTTGTTAGTTTAAACTATAATTTTTATCTCCATACAGAATTTTTGTTTAATATTTCTACAATTAATAACGAAGAAAACAGCGCTGCCGATATTTACAAAAAAAACTAATCAGCACGAACAGTTTTTGAATTTTCAAACTAGGTTCAGAAATGACGAAATGTCGGACTTTTTAGGAATCTTCGATTTTTTGTCGACGATATCAGAGCGGATCAACCGATTTAAATGATTCAAAAAACATTCGATTCTTGTTGGTAAATTGGCAAAGGCAGATCCAGCGGTTTCAGAAATGCAAAAGAATTTAAATTAATTTGCAGTTTTTGAAAGAACTGATCATCCGATTAAAATGATTTAAAAAATCGTTGTGTTGACGGTATGAAACAATGATTAGTTTCAAATTAACAGTATTAGTAATATTTCTTTCAAAATTTTTAATACAAATATTATTTCTCATTGATTAATTTTTATTGATCGTTGATTAATTTTATTCCTCGAATATTTAATTACTGTTTTGATACGTTACTCGTATGTATTTCCAAAAGGAATAATGATTTACATTATGCTCACATAAGAAAAACACAAATGTAAACAACCAGAGAAGTTTAGATTTAATAATCTATAGTGTTGACAGACGATATTAGATAGTGCCCATAAGAATTAGGAGAGTAAAACGATAGTGCCCGTAAACCACTAACCGCCGACGCCTAAAGCCGCTACTGTTCATAGGCCTCTAATATTTTACAACGGTCAGTTTGGGCATAAATTCTACTAGTTGGAAACTATATTTGTACATACTATCTATATTTGTACACACCACTACCTATAATTTAAAATGACGTTATTTAATTATCAAATGAAGTATTGGTTCTTTGAAATTAGATTTGAACTTGGACGTGTAGAATGTAAGAGAGTGAAATTTGGGGAATATGGTTATAAGAAGTTTACGGTTAATTATAAAGGAAAAAATCGAACTATTTGCTGCTTCGTATACTTAAATATGCGACTCATGGAACAATTAAGCACAATATTTTAACCCTCCGTCGGTCGGCGTGGTCTGGCCAGACTTTTTTCGACTTCAATTAAAAATTAAAAATACTTCTAGTGATCCTATCGACTTGAAATTTCTTGACTTTTCCTAAAATTTCATTAGCTGTCGATCAATGAAAAAATCAGGACGAAAAAATGTACAGAAGGATAATTATAAGGATATTAACTTTTTTATACTTCGAACGGTCGGAAAGGTCTGTCCAGACCACCCATACATTTTGTATGAAATATACGCTTTTTGATATATGTAAACCAGTATTTTGTTTTTTTTCATGGTATTTTCTATTCAAACTGC